AATTGATCACAATCTCCTGAACCTGGAAAAAAAAGCCCTTGTATTTTGTTGCCTGCATTCCCTTCCAATCCCCAACCTTATGAATGTGCTATGTAGCTTTTTAAGCTAAAATCACAAATAAGAATGGAACTTTTATTCATTTCTTTCTTTTTTAATTGAAGTGTAATTGATTTACAATGTTATGTGAGTTTCAGGTGTATAGCAAAGTACATGTGATTCATATATACATATACATGATTCACATATGATTCATATATATACAATTCATGTATATATACATGAATACATACATGCATATATATATATATACACATGATACACATATATTCTTTTTCAGATTCTTTTCCCTTATAGGTTATTACAAAATATTGAGTATAATTCCCTCTGCTATTCAGTACCTTGTTGATTATCTATTTTATATATAATAGTGTGTATACATTAACCCCAAACTCCTAATTTAAACTAACTTTTTAAAATTGCAATCCATTACCACCCCAGAAACGCCTAGCCATGTGGAGGAATTTCACAAGTATGTCATCAGAATCCCGGCAACCACTGTGACCTACTGAACCTCACAGTAAATCATCTTGTAGAAGGAAATTCAAGATTTACCTTTTCTTCATTTGCCTTGAGCTTGGTCTTGACCTGATGTATCAGAAATACCAGCGTCTCCACTTTTACACAGTATAGAGTTCAGAGCAAAGGAAACTAAACACCTCCACCTCTGCCTTGCCTCCGACTGGCCAGATGGAGCGACCACAGGGAAGTCAAGGGCGACCCCAGCGGACCAGATGGTGCTGTGAGGAGGGCTGGGGGCTGACTGATGTAGCAAGCAGAACAGAGGCGTGGGGACTCTGCACAAAAGCCAGATTTATGGCTGGGTGAGGCAGTTAAGGGGAGCTCACGTTCTCCCAACCATGAGATAGTAACAAGGCTTCTCACATGATTTCAGCAAGATTTTTATAATGAAAGAGGAACCCCATCACTGGACAAGGCAAACATTTCAGATACCGATAAGAGCTGGAAAAATAAAAGATAAGGACGCACCATTAATCCTAACAATATCTACTTAGTTCCCTTTATTTAGGGGTGGGAGACTGGGGGCAGGGGGACCTTTAATCATCAAGGAGACAAGCCTCAGAATCCCAGACTGGTTTGTGTCACAGAACTTCAGTTTAAGCCCTGCTTCCAGTTCTTAAACAGCATGTGAGTTTCAGGGTGAATTACTTGTGCTTTCTGCATCTCATTTTCCCCATCTGCAACTTAAGGATAAAAATAGCTGTCCTACCTACTTCGCGAGTTGAGAATCGAATGTAGAAATACATGTGAAACCACCCAAAAAAACTGTGAAATGCAAACAGTAATATGTAGTACTATTATTAATTTTTAGTTATAAATTTAACTTGGTGCATTATAATATCGATATTATAACAGCCTGTTTCAAACATTTTGTTAACTATTAATACATGATATATACATATCTATATATACACACACACATACATAAACTTGGAATTTTTCAAGTTCCAGTCTTAGTATTTATCTGATTTTGATCAATTCCCCAATAGTTACAGCACATAAAACTAATTTTCAGATATGTCAAATGTCAAAAAAGACAATGACACAAGTCATGTACCTGTATTATTACATATTAGAAAATGTAAGAAAATAACCTAAGTGCTCACTGAGCAATTGGCATTATGTTTACCCAGCTGATCTCAACCACTGTGATTCTGACCCCCAGGGGACAGTTGGCAATCTCGAAGCACATCTTCAGTTGTCACATTGGGGCACTGGCATCTACTGGGCAGTGTTCAGAGATGCTGCTAAACATCTTACAATGCACAGGACACTTTCCACAACAAAGAATTAGTTGGCTCCATACATCATTGGTGTTGAAGTTGAGAAACCCTGCCTTAAAATTGTATTGCCTGTCGCATTAAGAACACTGAAACTGAAGAACAAATATGCCTAAACATCTAAAACCACAGCGCTGAAACTAAGGACCTAAACTTAGGTCCTTAAACAAACTCTGTCAATATGGCCCAAACTTGCTTCTACCACCGTGGGTCCATGAGCTGCACTCTGAATGAACAGGTAACAGGACCTGAAGGAACTCATTTCTAATCTTAAGAAAACTTAACCCCAATTTGTATGAAGACGCAGGCAAAAGGAACATCTGATCTCCAAAGGAATAGTGCTTGGGGAGAGTAATTCTTATAAAGTGGGCAGAATGCGGATGGCTCCTAAGGCCTCAAAAGCTAAGCATCCATTGTGTAGTCCCACTGGGTCTATTTCAATTCTATGGGACTCCTTCCAAATCCATATTAACAGATGAAAAGACAAACTAATCTACGGCAAGGGATGCCCGGAATAGGACCTCAGAAGACAAGCATGGCTAGTATTCAGTAGAGGAAAAGCAATAAATTCCACAAAGACAATAGCCCAGCTTTTTGCACAGTTCATCACCTTAGTAAGCCAATTTATCACAAGCAGTGTCTCAGCACTCACACCTGTTTTTATAAAAAAAGAAAAAATTAACATCTGCAGCATTGCTAACAGAAGTGTTTGTCCAAGGGTTCATGACCCATTGTTGGGTCATAAAATTTATGCAATGATTTGATACCAGTATTTTTAAATGAATAGGATGGAAATGGAGCAGGGGATATGAAAGAAAAGAAAAAAAGAGGATTACTTCCCAATAAAGATAAAAATTTTCCTATGACACTAAATTTTTTTTGCATGCTTATGTCTGCCTATACACTGGTTGTGAATTAAATTTACATCTCCTTGAGTAATGGTCAAAAAAAGAGCTCAAAAACAACGATTTATAAAACTGCCAAGTGGTAATTTCATCAGAATGACACATCCATTCTAATAAGATCCAATAGCAATCCAGGTCTAAAGAGTCTCGAAGCATCCAACAAATCATCACCCAAGGGAAACACTTCAGCCTGAGAGAAGAAGATCAAAAGAGAAAAGGACTCTCCATCAAGGATGTGCCACATGTGAGGTCTTCACCTTTCTGCAGGCTGCAAATTAAGGCAAACCTTCATTGGACATTCAAATCCTTCCTATGAAAAGTTAAAAATGACCTCATTAAAAAAGTCAGATGAAGAACTGGGTCTGGAGGCTGTGTGGGATTCTGCTGGATGAAGAAAGAGAAGGATGATCCAAGGAATAGAAAAGGGCACATCCAAAAACACGGGCACTCCAGGGCCACCTACTGAATCCACAAGTGACTGAATCAACAAGTGGACGGAGTAGAGAAAGCCCCCAGCTTGTTCATCCCTCTCTTGTTGAGAGAGATGAGGAGCAAGAGACGAGAGGAGGGGGTGGGATGAGAGGGAGGAGGCTGTGGGAGATCTTGCTGGTCACTGCCCATCACCTTCATGCCCTCCCCCTACCCTGTCCCCAACAGCATCACATGCGAGCCAACTCCTAGGGACACTTTGGGACACACCTCGGAAGGAGTCCCCGGCAAGCAATAGCTCAAAGATTCGTGTGGGAGGCAGCATTGGCAAAAAAAAGAAAATGGTCTTAGTGTTGACGGAAACTAGGGGAACTGAAGTAAAAGAAGAGTTCCACTCACCAGTTCAGCATGAATTTTTGCAGACACACCTATACAACCCCCCACGCCCCCCATGTACTGGGTACTAGGGAGAAATAATAGCGACTTATGATCTGAACCCTTCCCCAGAAGGCTTATTAGCTTGTGTAGGAAGGGGATGCAATAATTAGCATGAAAACATTTGCAGAATCAATAAGCAAGTTCCCAGCAACATTAATGGCATTGAGTTTCTGAGAGATGTGGTGAGCCCAACAGTCCCACAAATATTACTGGTATGTTTCTGGAATGTCAGTGAATTGAGAGGCCCAGCTACATCTGAGCCATCACAGAAACTGAAAATATTTCATGGTTTCTTTTTTTTAATCACCTTTTCCATAAAAATTTACAGAACTAATATAGCCTAAAATAATATAGTCTACATATTATACAGACTATAATAATATAGTCTAAATAATCCATCTAAAGATAAACTTTTTTTCTTATTTTTCTTTCAGAAATTATCAAAATGCATCTCACACATTTCCACCCATGCTCTTTCTAGCACGGTAGCATGGATATTTCTCATTTTCTTTTTCAGTATCAAATGTTGAATTCTACTCTGCATTTTTCTCCCAAGTGTACAAGTCTCAACCAAACTTTAGCCAGCAGCCTGATCTCTATAGACCTGGTACTTCTTTGGTGACAGACGGAAACAAAGATGCTCAAGACTCAAAATGGTTAACATGACTTTTAAATAACCCTCTCTTGGAATTTTTATGAATATGGGATTCAAAGTTGTTCGCATGACTTTTAAATAACCTCTCTGTTTTAACTGCAAGGAACATGAGCCATTCTACAACCAGCGAGTTCAGACATGGGCAGGCGCCTCCCAAGATTCACACCAAGATGAAAACAGAAAAGCAGGCATCAGAATCAGGCTGTAAACACACAGCCTCTCGCTGACTCTGAGACTTATCTGTGCAGCATGTAAATCAGAAGCAGGCATCGCTCGCCTGAACCTCAGTCTTGTTCTGTGACCAAAATATACCTTGGTGATTGTACCAGGTTATTCTTGGCAAAGTATTTCTTCATTATACTACTGTTCCATTTAAGTTTAAAAAATGAACAGGCTTAAACCACACGGTTTTCCCCTCATTTAAACAGGGGCTTTTCTCACTCTCATAAATGTGTAACTATTTTACTTCCATCCGGCTTACAGCCTGATTGAAGCATTCATTTCTGTAAGTCTGTATCTGAAAGCCACAATGTAAGTTGTTCTTGGGCCTGAAGGTAAAATTAAACCAATCACTGCTGAACTTTTCCATAAGACATGTATTATTCAAAACAAACCTGGTAAGATTTTAGCTAGTAACGTTACAGAAACTTTCAGGGGAGGGGAAAAAAAGAACTAGTATTAGCACTGATGGCTTACCTTTCATAATTAACAGGAATTGAGAATGTTTGTCACCTCAAGGATCTCCTTGGGCGGGCAGACAGAAGGGGAAGAATTTATATGTCCTAAGCTGCTGTGTGCCAGGGTTCCCCAAGGCACAAGACCCCCAACAGCTGACATAACCATCCTTGATTTACAGGAAAGGGAGTGTTAACCTCCATGTATTAATTAATTTGACCAAGACCCCTAAGGAACAAAGGTAAGTATCCAAAGGTAGGAAATTCTGGATTTTTCTAATTTTTGTTGCTTTCCTGGAGGCTCAGATGGTAAAGAATCCGCCTGCAATGCGGGAGACCTGGGTTCGATCCCTGGGTAGGGAAGATCCCCTAGAGTAGGCATGGCAACCCACTCTAGTATTCATGCCTGGAGAATTCCACGGACAGAGGACCCTGGGGGGGGGGGGCTACAGTCCATGGGGTCGCATATATATATTACACCAATATCATTTTAAATTTTTCTGTACTTTTAAAATCTGAAAATATTCTATATCTTTCAATACTTACTTATTATTGATTTAGCTGTGCCGTCTCTTAGTTGCAATGTGTAGGATCAAACCCAGGCCCCCTGCCTTGGGGGCATGGAGTCTGAACCACTGGACAACCAGGGAGGTCCCTCCTTACCTTTTTTAAAAACATCCAACTTAACTTTCAGGCTCCTCTAATAAGAAGAATGGTTGTGACTCATGTCCCTTTCACAAATACCTTTCCCTATGGGTACCCCTTCTCCGGGCAGCAAAGGCTTCTGCAGCTGGGGACCAGGACACAAGAATGAAGTGAAGAACTGAAATGCTAAGTTAACTAAAGAGCTAGAAGGTTCGAATGTACTTATTCTATGCTACAGCCTAACAAGAACACTTCACAAATGAGAATTTTGTTTTCTTGAGACTGTAAGGTGCATGGTCATTGTTTTAAATATCAATCATACCTTAGAATATACCTCCTGAAGGCTGTGGGGGTGGGACATGACAGCCCAGACAATGTATGTGTGTGGGTTGGGTGGCGGGGTTGAGGGAGTGGTACATAGAATAATCAAGGGGGAATCTTCCTAACGTTTCCATTTCATCCAATACTAAGTAATTTAAACATTGCTCCATAGAAACATAGATCATGAAGTAAAATATGAAATCTACATTTTGAGATAAAATATAGAGGCTCCATGATATTTAGCATACTTAGGTGCTTTAGTTACATCATCAGGTATCTTAAGTAGGAAACATTTCCACTAAATAATGTGATCAATGTCTCTTGAGCACCTAGTCTGTGCTAGAACTGCTCTACGCCCTGGAATATAGCAATAAATACACCTCCTCCCCCAAAAAATCCCTTTTATGGAGCTTATATTATAGTGGGGAGACTCAACAATAAACCATAACAGTAAATAAATTCGAAGGTGAGTAAGTGCACGCTCAGACACTCAGTTCAATTCAGTCGCTCAGTCGTGTCCAACCCTTTGGGGCCCCATGGACTCTAGCCCGCCAGGTTCCTCTATCCATGGGGTTCTCCAGGCAAGAACACTGGAGTGGATTGCCATTTCCTCCTTCAGGGCAAAAAAATTAAGGGTGATGGGGGAACCAGGGAACACGGCGGGAAGGGAGCTATAGGTTCAGAAAGGGGAGCAGAGAAGACCTCCTGACTGTGACATTTAAGCAAGGACTTGCAGGAGAGGGAGACTGCAGATTCTGGGGAAAGAAAGAACACTGGAAACAGAAGACAGAGGTACAAATGCCCAGAGTGGACGACACGCAGCAGGCCGGCATGGCCGGAGCAGGACGGGTCAGAGAGGGGACAAGGAGCCACAGGGCCAGCCCTAAGGGACACTGTAAGTCTCTGGCTTTCACACTGAGATGGAAAGTCTCTATTAGAGGGCTGTGAATAGACATGCCGCCTCATGGGGTATATTTCAAGAGGCTGATCTGGACTGCGGGCAGCAAGGGGGAAGCTGGGCCTGTTGGGCTGGGACCGTCTTGCCAGTGAGAGGTGATGGGGGTCAGACTCCGGTGGGGAGTCTGGAGACAGGTGAAAGGAGAGCCAGTGGGAGGCCCAGGTGGATGGAAGTGAGCGGTATGGTCAGAAACACCACCACGATCTGATCTTCAGTCTAAGCCCCCAGAATGGGGAAGACAGTCCCTCCCTCCCTTGGAAGGGAGACAAGGAAGTGGGTTCTGCGTGCCTTGGGTGGGAGATGCCCACTGGATGTTCAAGTGCCAACACTGAGTGGTCACTGAGATTTAGGAGCCCAGAGTTCCAGGAAGAGATGGGCCTGGGTACAAACCTGCTCTCACCCACGTGAGGATGTGTGATAAATACACAGTGGATGAGCTCCCCAAGGGAATAAGTAAACCAAGGGAAGAGAAGAAGCCAAAGAGGCCCAGGACCAAAAGGCCAAGAAATCGGAAGCAACAGGAGGAGCAGTCAGTGAATCCAATTAAGAGGAAACCAAGGAGAAGCTGGGACGAATTGAGAGAGAAGCATGGAAACACACATTACCATGTGTGAGACAGATAGCCAGTGGGAATTTGTTGCACGACTCACGGAACTCAAACCAGGACTCTGGGACAACCTAGAGGGGTGGGATGGGGTGGGAGATAGGAGCCAGGCTCCAGAGGACGGGACATATGTATGCCCATGGAGGATTCATGTTGATACGTGGCAGAAACCAGCCCAATACTGTAAAGCAACTGTTCACCAATAAAAAATTTTTTAAAAAAAAGAGGAAACCAAGGAAATATGTTGCCCACAAAGCCCCATTGAAAAAAAGCTTTCCAGGGAAGAGAATGTGAGCATTTGATGGTTCATGTAATCAGGACTGAGAACCGAGCCATTGTGAAGTTAGCAATGTGGAGGCTCTCAGTGAACCTGACCTAAGCAGGTCCAGGTGGAGAAAGCTGGGTTGACATGAGTCTGAAGATGAGGTCCATGAAACTGAAGATGGTGAATAGAGACAACTTGGCCAGGAGTTCTGCCATGAAGAACAGAGAATCCCATGCTTGCTAGGAATCCAAAAAGAGCATGGGTGGGTGGGTAGGTGGGTGTGCATGTCTGTCTGTCTGTCTTCAGGAGAAATCCCAGCACATGAATAGGGGTGAATGCAGAGAATCAGCTGTGGCAGGAGAGAGGGGAGACCTGCACGGTCCTTCATCAGCCAAAGGGGAAGGAGGCTTCCTCCCAGGACAGCTCAGACACCAGAAGGGGAACGGACCCTGGAGCCATGACCCTCCACTATTAGAGAGACTTCAGGAAAGCATCTGAGAACCACTGATAATACACACGTGAGATAAGGCACCAGGACAAAAGGGCATCAACTCTGGTGAGGAACTCTGACGATTTATCGTGAAGGTTTTCACCAGGTTGCAGCTACTTCTGAGTTTGGGGGTTTGCGGTTTTGTACTTAACTTTTGATCCATTTGTGATCATCCTATCAACTGTCAACAGAATATATATGCAGATACACGTATGTGACAGTGTGTGCATGTGTGTGTTTTCCATGAACCTGTGTCTGCTTCCGTGGAGTTCTTTACTCACTATGATCTCTTGATATCATGGATTTTCCTGGCTTATGACTGTCCTGTGAACAATGCTTCCTTTCACTTGTCACTCCACCTTCCACAAGTGGCCACAGATGACTTGAAAATAAGTCTATCCACTCAGTTTCTTTTCAGTGGCTCGAATGATACGGATTTTTAGCTTTTGTCCTTCCCTGCCCCTACACTCCACACATCTCTTGAGTTCTTTACATCTCAGCAATCCTACTCTAACAATTCTGCAACAAGAGATGTGTCATGGTCAAGTACAAAAACAGGATGGGGACCATTATCACTTTCCAGTGTTGTCCTAAAGATACCCAGGATTTCTAAACCTATCTTTAAGGTTTAGGAACGCCCTGGACCGACTTCTTCCTGACACTATCTGTAGCACTTACCACATCCCTTTCCTAGAACAAAATGATAACCTAGTCTATCACTTCACATGTAAAGTTTATTTTTCCGAAACGGCCTTACATTACCTTGGCACCAAAGCTAGAGTCCATCTGCTGTCTTCTGTTCCCTCCCAGAGACTCTCGTGTCAAGCACAGAACTAAGGAAAACAGCAGTCTTATACCAGAATGGGATCATGGGAAAAAACATCTTTATCTAAGGCCAAAACAGGAACAGACTGACAGGTGAAGTCTAGCCAAAGCTGCCTTATCACATAGGTTAATACATGGGCACCAAAAACTCTCTCTGGCAATAGTTAATGGGAATGATGACCATTGACTGAGTGTATGGCTTTGAACTTTATTAGGATCCAAGAAAAACAAGTCTTTGTCTTGTCTCTGACTATAGCTTTAAGCGTGTCTGGTTTGGTAAGTAGGTAAGTAAATAGGTCTGTAAGTCAGAGACAGACAGGAAGGACGTGAAGGGGGAAAACAGATGGACATGTGTACATGTACATACATATATGTATACATGTCTCTATCAATTTATAAAGAATATCAAGATGAGCTGTGGATGTGTGTGCTGCATGCTCAGTCAGGTCTGACTCTTTTGCAACTCCGTGGACTGTAGTTGGCTGGGCTCCTCCGTCCATGGGGTTTTTCAGGCAAGAATACTGGAGTGGATTGCCATTTCCTCCTCCAGGGATTTTCCCCACCCCAGGACTGGACCATCGCCTCTTGCACCTCTGGCATCAGCAGGTGGATTCTTTACCACCGCACCACTAGGATGAGCCAAAGTATTCCCAATTAAATAAGCAGGTAGCATAAGAAAGATCAACAAGACGACTGGTATCGCATCTCAGCTCAGCAACTAACCGTCTCAGTAACTCTGGACAAGCCATTTCAGTTCTGGAGGTTTTCAGCTTTCCCATTTGAAAAACTGCCTAACGTCCTTTTCAGTCCCACAATACCAGAGACTATAAATAACCAACAATAGAGTCTGAGATATAGGCTTTGAAACACTGACATTAACACCTCCTAGCATTTGGGAGTCCATCTAACATGGAACTGAATAATCAAAAGACACTCAACACGCCATTAATAAACCCAAACTACTATAAATACAATGTTTAGTACCATTCAAGAGTCAAAAATCCAGATGTATCAATAGTCAAAAATTCAGGTTTATCTACTTTATTATTTATTTTCCCTGTCTCTTATATTATTGCTGTTCCTTTGATTCCATACCTTTATCCTTTCTTTTTTTAAGTCTTTCTAGTAAAGCCATTTTTACCTTGGCCTTTATTTAAGGTACACAGTTGCAAAGGACAAACACAAGTTATCACTAAAAACAAAAAAATACAACCAGGACATTTCAGGTAGTACAGTGAATAAGAATCCGCTTGCCAATGGAGGGGACACGGATTTGATCCCTGGTCCAGGAAGATTCCACATGTCACGAGCATGTGTACCAAGCCCGTGTACCACAGCTACCGAGCTTGTGCTCGGCAACAAGAGCGGTCACCGAAATGAGAAGCCCACGCACCACGGTGAAGGATAGTCCCCACTCGCCACAACTAGAGAATACCCGCACACAGCAACAAGGATCCAGAGCAACCAATAAATAAATTTTCAAGGGCTTAATAGAAATTTTTTTCCAATTTAATGTGTCCAAAAAGATCTTGTTCTGAATGTCCCGTCAAAAGAAAATGCTTTTTCTTTAATCTCACAGTTGAGTTAAGGAATCTCAGCTCAGATTCATTTGTTTTCCCCACGTAAATTAATCTTACAAAGTGGGCTAAAGCTGGAGGCACACAGACACGGAAAAGTGCCCCACCAGATACTGAAGGAGCATGAGTTCCTCTCCGTGTTGTTCCCACATCCATTCAATAGCTGTTGAAGGGAGAGGCTGTAGGGACCCTGCACCAACTTCAGATTTCTGGGGAAGGGCAG